GTAACAGCTGTGTATGTGTATGTTATGTATGATGTGTTCCCTTAGCAAGATGTACTGTGTGTGTGTGTGTGTGTACATAGCTTTTGTTAGGCTAATGTGTGTAGATGAATGTGTGTTCTGCTGTTATTGTTCAAATAAAATCTCATAAACTACATACAGTGTAAGGAGTCCATTTACTCTGTGTGTGTGTGTGTGTGTGTGTGAGAGAGGGAGAGAGAGAGAGAGAGAGAGAGAGAGAGCTTGATATTGATACATTGCACTGTAGTACAGAGGGCATTTAGATTAGCGTGATCGTCTTCAAACATGGGAGTGTGTAAAGGGAGAGAAACAGACAGTTCTGGTACACAGAGAGAGAACAATACAGTGTAAGAGAGTGTGCGTGTTGTATGTGTGTGTTGTATGTGTGTTGTATCTGTGTTTGTGTGTGTGTGTGTGTGTGTATGTGTATGTGTGTTCGTGTGATTATGAGATCACTGTTGCATCAGTACTTCCTGGTGGCAGCCATGTTGACTCTGCTTCTACTCCTCACTTCGCTGTGGCTACGTGAGTACTCACACACACACACACACAGACACACACAGACACGTACACACACACACACACGCGCGCAGACACACACACACACACACAGACACGTATACACACACACACACGTGCAGACACATACACGCACACATATAGTACATACACTCATGCATTGTTCCGGATGGAGGAGTTTACACTTTCCAGTTTCTCTGTAAAAAGACAGGCTGCATTTTTTGAGAGAGAGAGAGAGAGAGAGGCTGGTGAGGGAATGATTGTTTATCACACTATAACATAATACACACACACACATACACACACACACAAATACACACACATACACTCACGCATATAGACACACACACACTCACAAACACACACATACAACCCCTGGCAAAAATTATGGAATCACCACACTTAGAGGATGTTCACCCAGCTTTTTTACTTTATAGCAAACAAACAAATCACAGATATGATGCAAAAAAGGTTTTGTTCAATAGCTTAACATTCTGGCTTTGTGAAACATACATAAAAAAAAATTCACTGACATTTTTTTTTATTAATGGCATGTCTTTTTCCAAATCAAGTAGAGGAAAAAAGTATGGAATCACTCAATGTTGAGGAAAAAATTATGGAATCATCAACAAAAAAACACAATTAGTACTTTGTTGATCCTCCTCTGGCTTTTATTCTTTGAGGCATAGACTTCACTAATGAAAAACAATATTCC